ATTGCTCAGCTCAGCTCAGGGACAGAGAGGAAATTGCTGTTGTGACCAAGACGCTGTAACAAATTTAAATAAATAAAAGAATAATGCCATTTAAAAATGTGATAATTTTATACATAGCCAAACACTGTCTTTAACAATTGCATACTACTTTGAGGTTGGAAGCTCCTTCTGAGTTCAGAGATCTTATGAAAAACTTTCCTTGTTTCTCCATGTCTGTTTCCATCTTCAATGTCTTTACAGAGATTGTTGTAATACAAGTAGTCCTCAGCTTACGTCCATTCATTCACTGACCATTCAGAGTTACAACCGGTCATTGAAGCTGTGACTGTCACAGCATCCCTGCAGTCATGTGATTGCGATCCAGGTGCTAGGATGCCTGGATCGCAATTACGTAGCAGTAAACTGTGTCTCGTGATTGCCATTTGTGCCCTTCCTTGCTGGCTTGGCATAAGCAAAGTCAATGGGAAAGCCAGCAGGGAAGGTTGCAAGTCGTTCCAGTAACTTGCTCTTGCTGCGTTTTCTCCTGAGGAGCCCACTACAGAGTATGAGTTCCCAGGGCTCTCGTACTCAGTAGTACTCCTTGCCTGCCCACACTGTAATGTGTGGCCACCCACAGTAAATCCCTGCCCATCTGTGGCCACTGCCGACCCGCCTGCAGCCCCCTTCTTCCCTCCCGTGGCCTCTGCCAACATGACCGCAGCCTCCACTGGCCCTCCTGCAGCCCCTGTTGGCCCTTCCTCTGGCTCGCCCATGCCCTGTAGCACCTGCCTGCGTAACCCCACCTGGCTGTGGCACCGTGTCATCCCTCCCAGGACGTCCAGGATTGCTGTCACTAAGTGATGCAGTCACATGATGTCACACTTTAGAACTGCATTACTAAGCCATGGCAATCCTTAGCCCAATTGCTGTCGTAACCTGAGGAGTACCTGTACTGCCTCTTGTCTCTTCTAACAGCTCTCTGAAACTCTTAAGTTCCTTCCTTATTTTTGTCTTTTTGATAATTGCCCAGGAATAAAGTGACTAACAGAGTAGTTAACCTTCAAAACTTGTCTTTTAACTGGTATCATCAGAGTTGTCTGAAGGCCTAGGATCTGGAGGCTGGAGGATCTGGAGCTGCTCTCATATGACTCCATGGGCCGACATGACTTGATTAGGTGCCTTGCTGCCCTCTCCTTTCAAGGAGATGCACTGATTCCCTTTGCTCAGCTCTTCATAGTTCCCAGTGTGTTCTTGACTAGGCTCCCCGCTAGAATGTGTTTCCCCAATATCTAAATTGGGCCTCATCTGCTCTGACTCATTGTCCCCTGAAGCTGTCACGGGTGCCTTATTTCCTGCTTGCTTTTCAGTCTGACAATTGGCCTGGTCCCCCTTCAACCCCTGACTCAGAAGTCATAACAGTGTTAGGGAAGCAAGCATGAATCCATCACTTCTGGGGAGGGGGGTCTTGGACAACACCTACTTAGACCTTTTGTACTAGTCCTTATCCATTGATTACCCCTCATAATTGACACTGATGGACTAATAGAAGGAAAAAATAAAACACCACAGGTTTTCCATTTCTCCTGACACCTCCAGTAGAAGAAATTGACAAGTGACAGCATTCTTCTCACCTTCACATTGCTAAAAAAAGATAGGTCCACCATTTACTATTCCATCTGTAAACTAGTTTTTTTTATAAATGTCCAGCCTTTGCAGTGATTTTGTACAATAAAAAAGAACTTTAAAAAATGGCCATGGGAACCAGTGACTGGAATCCCAGTTGTATTTGAAAAGTAGAGGAACTAGAAACACTGAATCACAGTCTCGGAGCAAAAATGTCTTTCTCCTTTAGGAAATGGAGTATGGATGAAAGATATATGGAAGACTTCTTTAAAGCACTGACAGAGCTGAGAAACTTAAGAACCCTGAGGTAAGGAACTGCTTGCATTTTATCACAAGTGTTATTGATACAAAACCAGTACATGGCATTAGAAGCTTGCATCGTACCCTAAATATTATGGCTATAGCAGTCTCTCCTCAATTTCTCATGTTATGAAAACTGGGAGGAAACACGGCTGGTACCACCAATCCTGGTGGTTGAAAATAGAGGAGGTTATGTTGGGGGTTCCTGCTACCTGGGATGGAAGTGGATGATCTCTGAGACGTTGAGAGAGAAGGAAGCAGACTTTGGAAAATGCTAGGAAGGATGGACTATTATCTTTGGAATTCCTGGATGAAAGGCAGGGTACACTGTTGGAGAGCCTCCTCTGGATAGAGAAAAGAGAAAGATGGGGGGGCACCTGTTTTTGTGGCTATGTGGGAGAAGGTCTGAGGAGGGGTATGTCCATGATGGGTTATGGGGGGATGGAAGGTTAAGAAAGAGGTTCCTATGGCATGTTGCATGGGTTGAATTGGTACTGTAGGTGGGTCAGTTGAAGTACTTGAGAAATAGCAACCTGCTTTT